ACTGTACTTAAGTACAGTAACGAAGTACTTGTACTTCGTTACTTCCCACCACTGCAAATGAGACACATTAAGTGATTAATTGGGATTTTGTAAAAATTTAAATCTAATCGTATTTACTAGAGAACTCCAGTTGCAGACTTATAAGGAATTCATGAACTCTTTAATAACATCTGATGACGAGGTGGTTTTACAATTGACTTTCTAATTAGTGTGTTGCTATGTTTTTCTTCTCTTTTCCTCCTTTAAAATTACCACAAGTTTTCAGTAGATTCTGTGAAATGCAAGTGGCTCTCTTCTCAGAAAATGCAGAGCTATTTGCTCTGCTCTTTAATTTCCCTAAATATACATAAATACAGGTATATTCTGTCCTAAATGCATCAACAATAACTTAATTAAAAGTGAGCAAAGTATTTCAATGCAGAAAGACTTTAGTTACTCGGTGTTAGAAGCAGATCTGCTTTTCCAGCTGTTCTCAGAATTAGAAGCACTTGCACAGCACTGTACACATTTACCTCCTGCAAAGATCTTTAAGACTTACTTAAATGGCGTAAACTACTTTTATTGGCTAGATAAGAATGTTTTTCAGGCATTTTAGACATTATCCAAAACAGTCGCACGCTCATGTAAACATTTTACAGAAGGGGAAATCCACAAAGTCGTCCAGGTCGTTTAATTTCTGTAATGCATTTACATAGCAGACCACACAATTGCAAAACCACGAAGTCAAGCGAAAGCAAGAAGTTGCATTGTTTTTAAGTCAGGTTGTAGTTCTCTTTACTGAAGTGACACACTAATGATGACCAAAGCAAACAAAAGGTGAAATGGTTTCATGAACTTTAGAAATTTATTGTAATAAATTATCTCATAGCCATATCTCATGCTAGAATAACAAAAGGCTTCCTTTACAGTGATCCCATCCTGTTATTGACACATAAAGCAAATGGGAACATGGTGCTTGCTTTGTACACAGTATCAACTCAAACAGGACTGTAAAGAATAAGATAAAACTATACTAAGACATATCTGGATGCCACCATAAACAAATAGACAATTCTTGACTTGAACGTCGCTCAACTCTGTCTGCTTGGGTAGAGACTGTTTGGTCATGAACCAATCAGTTCAGCTGTTAACGTCACAATGAAGAAACAATAAAGTGACACGGTGCCTTTTTCGCATTAATAAATTTTTTGTTTCTCTCTACTTTTGCTGCAGGACGACCAGACTCCGCTGCACATCTCAAGTCGTCTGGGTAAGCCAGACATTGTGCAGCATCTTCTGACAAAAGGAGCATGTCCGGACGCCACGACCAACTCCGGGTACACACCTCTGCACCTAGCTGCCAGGGAGGGACACAGAGATGTGGCTGCAGCTCTACTCGATCAAGGAGCTAATCTGAGCATTACCACAAAGGTAAGACTTGTTCTGCAGATGTTTGTCGATCAACACTGCAACCGTTGTAGTCTTGCCACTTTGCTTTCGGGCTGGATAAAAATAGGTTGCACATCACTGCTACAGTGGACATGACAGGGATGTTTAGGCAATATTTGGAGCTACTGCAGTCTGATTGACAGGGAACAGCAATTACTGCGCAGATTTGGACCAAACAGACTAAAATCACAGGTTGCCAGACCAGCTGCATGTTCTGCATGGTCAAAGTTTTCTCAACAGTTAACTGCAGTGTTGCAGTTTACGGTTTGTTATTTTAGAAGCACAGGGATGGAAACCCCCTAAGTATGATGTTTCAAGTTATAGTTAGAACAAGTTGTCACTTTTTTCATTTTTTTTTTTTTTTTACAAATGAGATCATTCTCCAAATCATGAGATGTCCTATGGGGGGAAAAAAGCAGTCTTCTACAAAAACTCTTGTTCAAATGTTCATATTATACATTTAACAAGAGGCCAGTTTCATTCACACACCAACATCCCACAGAAAAAGTTCAAGGTCTAAATTGAAGTTGCATCGTTACCTCATAGCTCAAGAATGAGGCGAATGACACAATTGGTTTCTCCGCCTAAAACATTTGTGCTTTGTAATTTTTAACACTCCAATATTCAACCTTTCTCTAACTTTAATCCTGAAAATGACTTATACATACATACATCAGTATTCCCTTGTGTTCTCTCGTGTTTTCTCCAGAAGGGCTTCACTCCATTACATGTTGCTGCCAAGTATGGAAAGATAGAGGTGGCCAACCTGCTGCTGCAGAAAAACGCTCCAGTTGATGCTGCTGGGAAGGTAACAACGTGTTTGACACATCTACAGATTCTTTTTTTTTTTCTTATCTTTTGTCTCATCACAACCTGAAAATGAAGTCTATTTTAATAGGTTTTATGTGATTGACCAACACAAGGGTTATAACTGTACAATTGGAGGGAAATAATAGACACTGTAATCTGTTAAAATGTGGTTCGTTTTCGTGTTCGGCAAATCTCTCCTTTTTGGACGAGTGGAAAGAAGGAGACTAATGCTTAGACAGAGCCATAAGAAGTCTGGTTTAAAGTTTGATTCAAACCACATAGGGAACTTAGCAAACTGGTTAGAGCATATGATCGAGTCAGATGAGACCAAAACAGCCTAAACTGAAAGCTCTGTGTGTGGCAGGAAACTAATGTCATGACACATCACCCCCATGTTTAAATTTGGTGGTGACCTCATGCTCTGAGGATGCTTTTTTATTTCAGCTTTTACAGGGAAAGGCGATTGGAGTTGATGAGAGAATAGATAGAGCTACATACAGAATAACAGCTGTAAACATACAGGCAGAGCTTTGAGGATCAAGGATTAGATGATTAGATTAGATTTGTATGTTTAAATGGTCCAGTCAAAGTCCAGATGCAAGTCCGTTTGGTAATCTTTATGGCTCTTCATCATATCTGACCAAGCTTGAGCAATTTTCGTCTAGAAATTGAAAAATCTGCGAATGTTTCAATTGGCAAATGTTTCAAATTTCTACCTGACTCATAAGGCTTGAGAGTTAAACTTTTCAGATTTGTTTTACGATTAGATGTGTAAACAATTTGTTTCATTATATTATGCAGTACATTCTGTTCCTCATTTACGAAAAATACCCCGAAATTTCAGGGCTATGAATACTTTTTCAAGACACTGTCTTTAAAAATCAAGCACTTTTGGAGTATTTCCCCCATCTGTGAGCTTTGATCATGCTTAACTCTACTATTTGTCACAACCTAACCTTTGCTCATGTTTTCGTGCGCGTGTGTGTGTGTGTGTGTGCTCAGAGTGGACTAACTCCACTGCATGTGGCAGCGCACTATGATAACCAGAAGGTGGCACTGCTCTTGCTCAAGCAGGGAGCTTCACCGCACGCCGCTGCAAAGGTAAGAAACGACGGGGAGGGGTTTGTTTTAAAATCGAATGTTCCTGAAAGCATCTCCGGTGCTCCGTGTGCCAGAGCGAGCTGACCTAGTTAGAGCCACGCAGTTATTCTGCTCCGCACGGCCTCATTCGATATCCGTTCCACTCCGGCAGGATCAGTTCAGAAAGAGCTGCCCCAGAAATCAGCCAGGCTCCACACCCTAACAGAATTAAGTATTGACTAATCCATTGTTTAGGAAATGGTTTTAGTTGATGTTTGTAACCAACCTCCAGTGCAGTGAACACCCTCTTCCTTTGGCGCATCAACATTTTACATCCTATCATGATATTTGTTGGTCATATGAACTCAGTTAAATTTACTTTTAGGTCAAATCACGTTTTTGGTTTCAGCTCTACACATAAAAATAAATAAATAAGTAAAAATTGGACATAACGAGTGTTCAAATCACACACACTTTTGTTAATACTTTTTTTCCCTTCATGTTTTCATTTGGTACACACTTATTAAATATAAATGCCATTCTTTACAGACGCATCACGGCGTATTGTTTTGTAGCGATTCATTTATCGACTAGTTTATTTGCTCCGTTTGATTTTCTTTGTTTCTGCTGTCAGAACGGCTATACCCCGCTGCACATCGCAGCCAAGAAGAACCAGATGGAGATCGCCACCACCTTACTGGAGTACGGCGCCTCCACCAGCACGGTGACACGACAGGGGATCACTCCTCTGCACCTCGCAGCGCAGGAAGGCAACGTGGACGTCGTGACCCTGCTGCTGGCCCGAGACGCTCCTGTTGGCACCAGCAACAAGGTGACGCTAACGCGCAAGTCTGAGAACGCGATGATTTTTTTCTCCCCGTCTCACAGCAAATCTAGGAGTCGTATTTACAGTGAGGGAGTGTGAGTGGAGTGTAAACATGTATTCATGACACTGGGATGTTATTACACTTGGAGAAATAACAGTCTTTACCTGAAACTCTGTTATTTCCTCTGACATTTGTTTTTGATACCCCCTGAGTGCTCATCATCCCGAGGTCCTAACCTGCCATCATGTTTCTAACCAGCTGTATTTCCCTCTGACTCCAACTGTGTAATTGTCTGGGTTTGTCTCCTCAGTCGGGGCTGACTCCACTCCACCTGGCTGCCCAGGAGGATAAAGTCAATGTTGCCGAGGTTTTAGTCAACCACGGAGCCACTATAGATCCCGAGACCAAGGTAATAAGAGAGTCTTGTTCACCCTGAGCTCACCATTTCCACTGCTAAACATAGTAGGGTTTGCTTCATGCTGTGGTACGTTTCGTGAAGGGGACATGGAAGTTTCTCAGAGTCAATGGGGGGAATAAACGAAGCAAAAATACAGAACGGAACTGTTGAAAACCCTTTTAGAGGCTTGGGTGAGATTTGTGGTTCACCTTCCAGCAGACCTTTTCAGTCGAGTTTGTAGTTTATAGAGGTATGCACACTTTTGCAAGACACTGAGAACATGATATTCATAGGGTGTCTCTGCTAACATTTGATACAGTCTGCAACAAATAAAATGGACAAGTTGGGAAACGTTGCCAAGAGGCATGACTTCATTTTACATTAAAGACTGGTGTGTGTGTGTTTTATTCCCTTGTAAGTAAAACAAAGCTAAGTTCTCAAAAGAAACTCTTGTAATTGTTGTTGTCTTGTTTTATAGGTTAGATCTGTAGCCCTGATGCGCCAGACTAACATTGTCAGTCAGCTTCTTGTCATATCTGTTTTTTCCTCTAAATTGCATAAAACTCTGTGGAAAAATTATTGAATCGTCCGGTATTTCTTAGTGTTTTCATTTCAGGTATCCCGATTGTACTGCATTCTTATATTCCAAACTGTGCGAAGTTCTTCCATTGTTTTCTGCTACTGTGTTTTTTCACCCTTTTTCAGTCCATTTTTTGAGCATGGCTTGTTTATTACGCTACTTAACTCTAATCTCTGAGTCATTCGAACATAAAATGTTCCAGAACTAACTGACAGACTGCAAAAAAAATAAATAAAAGCTATTTTGATTTATCTTTATTCAAGTTGTCACCAACACCCCGTTGTAGAAACACAATGTTCCTGTTTCTTTAGCTGAATTGATTTCCAAACATAAAAAAAAGACAGAGACAACTGTTTCAGTCATAACGAGGTAATTCCCCCAAAAAACTATTCTTGAACTCACAATTCCTATAATGTGTGTTAGCTAGATTCTTACCTGTGTTTGAAAGACACATATTGTTTATTTGCCTTGTAGGTGTTTTATATTTTGACACCTTCTCTTCATTTTTTTTACTGTGTTTTCTTGTATATAGTGAAAGGGAGAAGAACTGGACTGAACTTTGTTAGATAGCAACAACAGTAACAAAAAAAACAAACAAACAAAAAAACAAAAACAAGTCCACTTTAAAATCTTACAATGCAGTCTAGCATTTTAAAGGAAAAGTGCAAAGAACCTAAGGGTGATTTGAAAGTTTTGCACAAGCGCTTTGGTGCCTTTTCAGACGTAGGTTTCTGTCCTGCAAAGATGCGATCAGATGTTTCTATTTACTGAAAAAGCTGTAAATATCAAGAGTGAAAACAAATACGTGTGCTCTCGTGTTTTTGTCATCAGTTGGGATACACCCCTCTTCACGTCGCCTGTCACTATGGCAACGTGAAGATGGTGAACTTCCTGCTGAAGAATCGGGCGAAGGTCAACGCTAAGACCAAGGTAAACGCTGTCAGTGACTGTGAAAACATGTTGGTGCTCGTGTTTATATTCTGTGCGTTTTGTCTGAACTCCACTCCTCCCTCTGCAGAACGGATACACACCTCTGCATCAGGCTGCCCAGCAGGGACACACACACATCATCAACTTACTGCTGCACCATGGAGCTTCACCCAACGAACTCACTGCCGTAAGAAAGCACAGAGAACTTAGACTCTCTCACTGTTTCTCACTCTAGATTAAATCCACTTCTTGACCAGAATAGTTACTTATTATCATTACTGTCTGATTTTATTTATGCATGAATTTTCTAGAATGGGAACAGCGCTCTGTCCATCGCCAGGAGGCTTGGCTACATTTCTGTAGTTGACACACTCAAAGTGGTCACAGAGGAGACTCTAACCACTCAGGTTTGTATCCGCTGCTAAATTTTCATCTCATTATATTTAAGTGCCATTAACTGAAATCAATGCTTTTTTTTTGTTCTATTATTGTGATCGAAATAGTCTGCAGAAAAATAAAATACAATTCTAAAACAAGCCCACACCACAGTGCACCTTTTTAAATCAAACCAGTGTGCATGACTGCACTGACCGAGGTGCTAAAATAAAACAAATAACCTTTTGTTTTTCAGTTTTCTAGCAGAAACACGACGGTTTCATGTCATAAAACTTTAGCACTGATTGTGGTTTTACTTTGGCAAAACCGCACTTGATGACATATAAGCGCACACACAATGATGCTGCCAGCACCACTTGAGGTTGTGGATATGGTATTCTTTAGATGATGTGTGGGATTGATTTTTTTTTTTTTTTTTTTAGGTTTGGGGGGGTTGGTTCCAATGTTATTTCTTTATAACGTAGCGTTCCACTAAATTGAGGACTCATT